CTCGTTTTCAGTTCTTCGTCTGTTAAAAATCCCTTTCCTTACATAAAACAAAACATCTGTATTTCTAATGGTGATCTGGAGAAAGTGCAGCTTAGAAAAACTGCTGCTGAATATTGCCTAATGGAAATACATCAAAGCGTTTTGACAGACACTGTCCTCTTCTCTGGTTTATATCATTTTTTCAATTATTTTACAATCCTGCAAATCAGATCACTATTCACCTAAATTACCCTTAATCTGATTTAAGCCACAACACTCAAGAGCTTTTATATGTATTTAATACTGTCTGAAAAATCTAATTAAACTATAAAGGACAATATTAAACTGCAGGCCTCATGGAAATACAATTGCTAATGGTACAGATGATAAATATCTATTTTGCACATGCTGTGGATAGATGCACAAGTCCAAATCCTTGTTCAGTGTAAATCAGCATAATTCACATTCATAGGGACCAAATTCATAACAGCAGAAATGTAGCTAATACTTGCAGCGGAGGTATAAAGTCATAGTCACTGTCAAAAGCTTTACAGAACAGTCAGCCAAATTCCTCACAACATGCCTGAAATGCAGGTCCGTCCCAGCAAGTACCCGAACATTTCAGCTATTGAATTATAGTGTAATTGTGGGGTGAAGGCACGGCATCAGCATCCTGGGCTCTGCCAAAGGCAGAGGGAGGGACCTTGGAAAAGTTTCCAGCACTCACACTGGCAAAATTCAGAGCACGTTTGGCTTTCACTGGGAACCTCAACGCTTACAACAGGCCTTTAACCTGAACCTGTACAAGGAAAATACTTCAGAGGTGCATGCGCAAAGCTGAATTCTATAATATCTGTAATTTATCCCAAGTCCAGGAGCTGAAAGTGGCTATAAGAACACTGTCATAATAAACCATTTTTCTATTAAGAAATACAAAACACAATTAAAAAGTTCAGGAAAGCAGGAATGCCAATACTGCAACCTACCAAGAATCAAAAGTCAGGACTGAACACTGCCTAAGAGCTAGCAAACTGGGTCTCTTCCAGTTAGTTTAGGAAATTATTTACAGGATTCCATGCACTAAGAAATGTTTCCACCTTCTTCTGTTTTAAGGCAAATCCACATCCTGATTTGAAAGTCATGAGGACAGAAGGTACCCAGCACTGATATGTGAGTAGGAGTCTGTCCAATTCTGGAGAATAAGTCAGTGACAGCTGTGATTGCAATGTCTGCGGTCTTTGAGCTTTGCTCTACCACAATCCTGACTGCTTTAAAATAACAGCAGTTCAAACTCACTGTCACTTAATCTTCATTACTTTCATATTTTATAGAAAAATGCATATAAAATTTGATCATCTACAACTTGTCTTTATAAATACACATGCAAAACTCTCACTCCACTTTCTGAAAGGCTAATAAACAGCAGGTTCATATTTAAAAAATTGCCAGTGCTGATCCTAAATTCAGGTTTGCAGTTTCCCCATAAGCAATAAAGTAGGTCTTAAAAAGTCAAGTCAGCAAAGACTTTGTCACAGTTACTGGTAATAACGACTCCATGACTTCAGGAGTAAGTCACTACTGAACATTAGCAGTAGCATGGTAGATTTTTACTTCCTCTACTGTATTTTAAGAGTCCAAATATTTTCTTCTAATTAATTATCAGATCTCTAGGTGATGTCTACAGAAATAGGCTGTGGTGTTTTGTGAACCTACACTTGACCTTATTATACATTTAAGAGTTTGATCATTGTTTTCAATCATCACAGGGAGGGGGATCTCTTCTACCACAAGGTGGCACTTTATGTCATCAGGACAACCAGCATTTTCAAAAAAGAGACTGTCAGTCACAAATCAATCTTCTGTTTCAAAGCGCTTGATTATTTGTTCCATTCTTTCTTATTAGCAGAAGAATGACAAAATCAGAACAAAACACAAAATAGTCTGTTATTAATGAACTATAAACTCCTTTCTCGCATCCAGAACTAGGAAAGGCATTTGTCTTTGGTAAGGTCCTTGTTAAGTGCGGTCAGTGACAGACTAGCCACATTTACCAAAACCAATAGCTGAAATAGTCACCAGGATTGATGCTTTGTTTTTGTAAAAGATGACTCAAAACCTGCAGCCAGGTGGCAGGCAGACATCTCATTATTATTATTTCCTACCTGTCCAGTTCTTTGCAGGTTTCCAAAATGAACATCTGGTATGAAGAGAACTGGCTGGGAATCCAGGTCAGTCATCGTTTTGAAGAAGGTGATATCACTCTTTTTTTGCAGAGGAAGAGCGCTCAGCTTCCCTTCAGCTGCTGGGAAGATCACAAAGTCACGTAGTTACAACACAAGGCACATTACACAGACTTAGCCCAAACGAGAAAGGCCTGTCTTACTCACAGTTACTACATGGGGCTTGCGATGCCTGGCCTTTGCCTTTCTTCCTGTTCTGCTTCCTCTCTTCATCTCGGATTTTCCTTTCCGCTCCCTGATGCAAAAAAAAGACAACACACTGGTATTGTCCTATGAGGAACCCGCATGAGCATCGACCCCTGCGGTGCCTGGAACTGCAGCACCAGGCACGCTGGAAATGCCGAAACACTGGCGAAACACTGGTTATCCTGAAATCTGCCAAGGCGGTTTGGGGACATGGGACACCCACCAGCTCTGGATGCTGGGGCAAGTTGCACTAATCCACATGCGTCTTGGCTGACTGGGACCCATGAAGCAACAGCTCAAGCAGCACTCAACACCCGCTGCTGACAGCGGTGCGGCGCCTAGCACAGTGCTGGTGGCACCACATCACATGTAGCACAACCATGAACCCAGTGCCTTGGCAAAGGCTGCTGCGCTCAGGCCTATGTGCTTCTTCACATTATGTGCTGACAGAAAGCCCCTGCAGGACTGCTGTCGTCTTAGATCATGCCTACACTAAGCTTTTCCTGAGCTCTCTTCCACCCACCTGGATTGAGGGTGGGACTGCCCCACTGCGGCCAGCTTTGTGAAGGCCTTTGAGATCTTCCAGTGCCAGAAGACTACATTGACAGCTTGCCAATAATGCAAGGGCTCTTACAGAAATAGGCATTTCAAATAAGAAGTCCTTGAGAAACTTGAAAGCGATGCAGCACTGCCCTATTAGGCCCCAGGAACTCCTGGGAAGTTGCACGCTTCTGTTATGTAAATATATTCCCAACAAGTTTAGAAAATAAAACTTGTTATTGACATAAAAAGCAGAAACATCTCCTTTGAAGTTCTAATTTACTTTATAAATATGAATATAGCCCTGCTGTGAAGCGTATTAAAGATCCATATGCTCCCCAATAGACAGCATGCAAAATTAAAGATTTTTTCCAAATTAAATGTAGGGATTTCTTTAAAAGAAAACGGGGAGGGGAGAAACAAAGCCGAAAATATTCACTCAAGACAGCAAAACTCACACATGAGCCAATGATCTGAATTTGAAAAAAATGCAAGAAAAGATATACTCCTGGTTGTGATCCATCAATGGCTTTCCAGAGGTTGAAACAGGTGGAGGAAAAAACATCTCTTTAAAGAATATCAAGATATCTGATAGAAACATTGCCTTCACAAGCCAGTTCACATTGACCTCAACCACAGAAGGTGCCGGAATTCCAATAGATTCACAGTTATGCCCCTAATTGTCACAACTGTGTCTATGGACACATCTGCATTTTTAAAGGCCTCCTGTTCTTTGACAGAAAGGGAAAGAAATATGCCTCACTGCCCCTATCTTGAAGAAGACCTCTCTGGTAGCACTGTGATTGCACAGCAGTGTCCTTGCCATGTTGGTGACAACCCTACCTTCCTGTTTTGCAGCTCTGATTGCTCACAGGCAGATGGGTGAATGTTCAAAGGAATTTTGCATGCTGCCACGAGTGTGAGTTTCCTCTCAGGAAAGTAAAACCTGAGGAGGACTCAGCCTTCTGCATATGGTAAAGAAGATATTTTTTTTTTTGCTGATTTTCTTTGATATTCTCTGTGTAACTATGAACCTGGGAAGGTGCCACAGCTTTGTCTCCTTTCACTCAAGCCAAGACCACCAGGTCCTCGGGGATGCAGGCAATCCCTGAGCACACAGCCACTCCTAACCACCAGTGTTTATTTGTGCCACAGTTCACACTAGAAGATGCTGGACAAGATGGGGAAGTGCTCTGCTTTTTATAGATTTTGGTTCATATAATTCACTTCCAACACCATTAAAAAGCACAGCACAGCATGAGGCTGGGCTCGGCTTGACCTCTCACACTCTCATGCAGCAGGGCATGGAGGGAGTAGTTCCACAGGACAGCTTGAGACCCCTTCCCAGCTGCCCCCTACCAGGGAGGCTGCACTCCCTCTGCCTCTCCCACTCCGGTTGCTCCCCAAGTACTAGTCCCAGTGCTTGGTGGACCTCTGTGGACCATTGCAAGTCACTAATCCTGTTGGGAACCAACAAAGGGGTGGTGGAAAGTTTTCTGCTGGGTCCTGAGCTGGGTCGTCCAAGAGCAGGGGCAGAAGCAGCCAGACCCGTGGCAGAGCCAGGCATTAGCGCCAGCCCACCAGTGGGCTGCCTTAGCTGCTCAGGGACCTGGAAACTGCCCGAGCTAGGAGCGGCCTAGCAGATTTTGTACAAATGCAACAGGTCTAGTACTTTTGTTACTGTCCATTAGTAAAGCCTAGTCTATGAATTTCAACCCATTCAAAACATATTTGTTCTCCAAGTCTGTAATTTATTTAGGGTTACGTCTTGCAAGGTGTTAAGCAGTCTAGCTCCAGCCTAGCAAAGTGCTTACCCCAGTAAGGACCATCACTGCTATGGAGCCCAAGTATATGCCTTTTTCCAGATCAAGGCCAAAGTATTCCATATATGATAAAACAGGCCCATAGTCTTCAGCTTTCTTCTCTCTAAAGCTGAAGACTTGGAGGCAATTAGATTTGCTCAAAATCCTATAATAGATTATTATAGGTTTTCATTACTACTATCCATATTGAAGACTAGAGAGCATACATTCAAAACAACAGGCAGTTTTCCCCAAGTAAGGAAAACAGGACTAATTTATTTGATTTTGGAAGAACAATGTTATGGCATTTGCCAAGTCAGATGCTGCTTCTTTTTAGCAAAACTAATCACACACAGAAAATAAAAAAGTCTCCGAATCCCCTGTTATTTCATACACAGCAGTTAAAGCACTGTGCAACATATACATATAAATAGGCCTGATAGCAAGTTTCCCTGACAACCTACTTAAGGAATAAAAATTATATTCTCCTATGATAAAACAGTGTAAGTGATCCACACATGATAAAAAGACTGTGAGAGTAGAGAGAATTAGCACTGAGAAAACAAGATGAGCACTCTAACAGTTGATTTGAAGATTGCCTACTCAAAAACAAACACGGACAAAAGATAGGGCAAAAGAGTAGGGCAAAAACCAGAGTGCCTCAGTCTCATCGCCTTTATCAAATAGGCAGCAAATCCTATCTATCTTTGTCACTAGAGGGCAAATAACAGTCTTGGAAGAGAAACTGAGCCACAGACCCTTCATTTAGCACCCTGGCGACCAGTGCCCCCCTATTATTTTTTGGCAACTTGGAAAAACATGATGGTATCCTGCCCAGCCAGCTATCTCCCTCGGAGGGCAGTGAATTCTTCCAGCTGCTTCAGCAGCTGGAATAGAGCACCCTGAGTAGCACAGGCTGTGGCCTCACCGAAATGGGCACAGTAAATCCACGAGCAGGTGCCGCTGCGCACACGGGATGGCTCCTGTTCAGGCAGGAATGTAACCTCCAAGCTCGGCCGGTTCTTGCGCTTTGAGTCCCCAAACGTTTATTTACTTACTAAAGCACTGTGACAACCTGAGGTCAGTAAAGAGGCACCATCGTAACCAAATGGAAAATTGGGCCTCAGTCTCTTTCAAAAGTACCAATTTGCACAAAATGTGACGTGAATTGACCTAGATAATTTTCATTCATTTTCATGCATTTCATTCATTTTCAGCCCTGCACCAAGTTGGAAAGCACTATGTGTGTGTGTGTGTGTGTGTGTATACATCTATATTATACAGATACATATCCCATTGCCAATCCCCTTGAGCCCTCCAGTTCCCATTTTCAATATAGTTTTGAAGTTCTTAACACTTTACCCTTGTGATCTTTTTCTCTACTCTGAGACAGTTTTTATTAAAAGTCTCAACATTAATTTCCTGCTTCCTATTCTGCAAATTTGAAGTACCAATTAAGTCAATAGAGGCAATGAACATGTATTATTCAAAATCTCCACCAGTTGTGTCTACAGGTAAACCTAGATGAGTTTGTGCTCTGAATGTCTTTCCTTTTTTAAAAAATAATTCAGATTTTTCTAATTGCTTTTCCAAAACAGGTAGATGAAAACAACTTGCTACATTGATATCAACTGAGCTCTTCTCAGCCAGCTGTAGCTTCAAATCTCCGTAAATATTTTACATTAAAAGTCATAATTAAAAACATAACACTTTGGCTGCAGGAAGACCTCAGTGCATACATTTACATTCATTACTTTCAAAATTTTTCCTCCAGTAATAAAACTGATTAGCCCTCAAGATCCTGTTGTCAAGACAGCAAAAAGGGAATTAACTGAAAAAGGGGAAGGAGCAGCAGAATGGAGACCTGGAACAGTTGAACTCTTACCCTTTCTTTAAAAGTTAATGCTACGTATTGCCTGGGGCATGGCCTTTGCCTTTCTATTCCCATCTATAAGATGGGAAAACTAATTTGGATAACTTTCATAGTCCCTTAAATGGATGTAGGCTCCTGAATCCCTGAACCTAGACTAGAATCTAGGCCTCCACTCTGCTTCAGAAAATCTTTCCCAGCAGGGATAAAGTCCATTGGCTGGCAGTTGTAAAATACAAATGAAAAGTGGTCACACTACACATTTAAGAATCATCACTGAGATGAAATTTTTGAGGAACTGTTTCTACCTGGTAGCACTTACAGCTGCCCATGACATTATCAAGCTCATTTAAGCTGTGATCTGTTTTAAAGCTGAAGAGTACAGCCAAATCTTACCAGTTCCCATAAAGGAGTGGGGAAACCCATCGCAAAAGGACCAAAATGACCAAATTTTGCAAAAGAAGGGGGAGGTAAAAAAAAAAAAGCAGTTGCTGAGCCACAAAATGGGAATGGTTAATGTATTTTGGCAGAAAATCCTAACATAAAAAACTCTGACTGAAGCTTCCAAAATAACTGTTTGCAACCAAGCAGGGAAAAAAACAAAGCATATCAGCTGCATGGTTGGGACTGAGTGTTTTCTACTAAATCAGAAAAGACAGCTCAGCAGGCCTTTCTTGAATGGTACACTTCTCTATCAGAGACCCCTACCTCAAACTTTACATATTCCCTATCCTGGCTGCTAGAAGCAGAAGAGAGATCATCAGACCAGGCATTTGCATGAGCCTATGATCTCCCAGAGATCCTTACATTAGGGACTATTTCCTATACCATGACCTATATCATGCAGTCTTTATGCAGTCCAACTACTGCACATAAGCTGACGAATCAGAGTCCAAGAGGCTGCAAAGTAGTAAAATAACTGGGTAGTAAAATAACCTGCTAGATTTATAATCTAGCTGGTCCAAATTTTACCATGAAATACTATTCTTTGGGAAAAGAAACAACTTTTAACTAGGTCTAAAATGCAGCAATACTAATAAACTGTCTAACAATGTCCCTCCTCTATCCATTGTGCTTTCCACTTACCTTGTCACAAAAAACTTTGATCTGGCAGTAGGCTCGGTGGATGGGTTTATTGCTGCGATTGTTGTAGCTGTACGTATCTATCTGAATCATCAAAGGAAGCCCCTTTACTCCTTTTTGTGAGGAGAAATCCGTGCTCAGGCAATTCACTGTGATGAAAATCTGTGTACCAGAGAGATTGCTTTAGATATGTGGTGCAAACAACTATTAAACTTCTGGAAACACATAGCAATTAATGGGAAACATAAAGAGCAGATACCAAAAAAAATGCTTTTAATTCAGCTACTATCTCTGCTCTGACAATTCACACGTTTATTCTCCACTTCTGCCCTTAGTCCAGCCAAGGCGATATTATGTTGGGACAGGAAGGTGGACTTCTATGGTGTGTCAATGTTAATGCTTTAGTATGGATCAGGAGTTCAGGTTTGAGGTGAATCACTTGCTCGGCCCACCTTAACCATGCTTGGATTCCCACCACAGAGGTGCCTCAAAGAGCCCGGGCTGGATTGTCAGACCAGATGTCCTGGGCGCACACCTCGTGTTCCAGATGCTAACGGTGGCTCAGTCTCTGGGAAGTGACTAGGGATAATCTGAGGTAAAATCTGTATCATGTGGATGTGTAGTCTTTAACCCTGACTGTTTCACCATACAAACGTGCTCTGTATGTTTGTGCCATTTGCTAATATAGTCCAAGCAAAATAACCTGGCGTTGTCCTTTCTAGCCATCTTTTTGACTGGCTTGTTCTTCTGACATCTCATAATTTAAACTCAGCGTGGCCAAACAAAAGTCCTACCCTTTCTTCACAAACGCTCGTTTTTCTTTTAACCTATGGAAAAGTATTCAGCCCCATAATACAAGTGTTTGCTTCCTCATAGCTAAGTTACATTTAAATCTTACTGATCTGTTTTCAGTACAGTCTCTTCTTAGATAGGGCCTTTCCATCCTCATAGCTAGGAAACTAGAGAAGGGCCTCTGTATTTCACTTTTCGGTGCAGGCACCATCACTGCCTGGCTTTGACAAATCTCTTCTTGCTGTGCTCATATCTATTCCAAACAGTGGTGCAAAGACCAGACTTTTCCCATACCAATTTGCTAAGTTCTCTCCCATCAGCAGTTCCCCTTCCTCCGTCCCATCAACAGACATTCCTGAGTTTTACTTTAAACTTCCTTCACAGTCTTTCTTCAGTTTCAAAAGTGCATCTGTCCTTCAAACTGGGATGGAGTTCTTCACACAATTATAAAGCTACTTCCTACTTCTTCTCAAAATCCCCTTTGTAATGTATTCTCCATATGACTTGGCAACGCCTGTGGATCCTGGCGTGCTGGAACCACCGCCTGTCTTCTACTCAGAAACCTGCCTCGTGGTTTCCTTCTAAGCCCACTTGTGTACATGGATAGCCACTAGCTATCTCATGCCTTCTAACCACCATCACTACCATGGGACACGGACCGTCTCTCCTGTCCTCTGTTTGTACAGCACCTGGTAAATTGGCCTCCCACCAGCAAGTCTCCAAGGATTATTTTAGTGCAAAGAAAGCTGTTACATGATCTGAAATATCACTCATTTCTTCCCACTCAAGATAGTGTGCACGAAATTTGAGAGATGAAAATGTGTATTAAAAATCCATTTGTTCTTCCCATTAAGAATATGTGCTAATATACGCATTAAATAATAACATGTGCTGATTATGTATTAACCTAATTCTACTTTTTAGTTTTTCTCAGATTTAAAAAACAAAACACACACAAAACCCCAAGTACTGTGAACTATGAAAAAGAAAAGAGAACACTGCCAATAACACACTTCCTGAACCATGACAACGTGAAACCTTCTCTAGGAGAATCGACATAGTCAGAAAGGATGAGCTTTGTGGGATCTCTCGTGAACCTGCTCCCCGCCAGGACCCAGGGTGCTGGTGCACACCTCGCTGGGCAGAGGAGACACCCACAGGCCCCTGGGGCCTGCGAGAATTCAAGACAGAGACTGAAGGAAGCCCCCTCCCCTGCAACCCACAAACAGGAAAAAAAAAGAACAGGAGGGCTGAACAGAATACTAATATCCCTAAGGGGAAGGACAGGACAGAATAAAGAAGGGCTGTGGTGCAGGTGGTGGAGGGATACTTTACCCTAATGGCAGAAGTTAACATTACAGTCAGGTTTTTTATGATGGAGCCAGAGCAGCTTGTTTGCCTGACTGAGCTAATGGCACCTCCACATTTCTGCTTCTGATTGTATCACAGAGCTGCATTTACAAATGAAATAGTTGAACTTTAACTGAGGGGAGAGGAGGGAGGCAGGGAAGGGCCCTAGGTGAAACTCTGATTTTGAAGCTGATAGTGTTATTTCTGTTTCAAATTACAACTTGGTCTCTTGCAGATCCAAAGGTAAGTGTGGATATGCGTGCATACGCCTTTGAAATATGATGGTCTGAATTTTCATTTGCCTTAAGTCTCCTTTACAGCGTCAGGGCAGTGGTTTAATGTATGTATGAACACAGAGCGATGGAATGAGGTCTGATGTAGAACAGAATCTGCATTTTAGCCCATACATCTGCTCAGGGATCTTCCGAACTGTATGTTAAAAATGTGAGAAAGGGACGTGAAGACTTTGCGTCTACGCAACAGTTTGTGTACCTACCATGTTTGCTGCACACGCAGCTGAAAAGTAAAAAAAAAGACATTGTCTCATCTTAATCAACTGCATACACTGTGTGTCATCTCTTCCACTGCCTCCAGAAATCCGGAGTGTAGTAGGAGTGACTGGGAAAGACAGACTTTATCATTTTAAGAGTCCCAATACAGCAATAACAGATTATTCAGCATGAATAATTGATTGACGCTGTAAGATTCAATATCCTAACCCTGACACTGCAATACATCAGGATCTCTCTGAGGAGCAATGACTGCACATTCATGTGCATGAAGAGTACTATAATTTCTGTCATATCATTTCTGCCATAAGGATAGATAGATGTACTTGAATTAACACAGATCATTTATTTCTGGAAAAAATTTTTGTCTCTACACAATCTTCTATTACCTTTCCTCTAAAGCACAACACTGATTTTTGACTTGGAAAACAATTTAAAACAAATCTGGGTGTGTATTCAGAGGGAAAGGGGAGAGGGTATGAGTTGTGTTACTTGAGCTGATTTTTAGATAGGGTTTTCTTTGCATTACTGAATATTTTCACTAGTTATAGCACAATGGTACGGCAGACTTTGGGGGTGAAACAGAGGCAGAGAGCCCTTGGGCCATGCCCCTCTCTCTGCCCCCGTGAAGCCTTCGCCTCCCTAAGGCCATGGCTGAGGAATGCAGCCTGTTCTGGGCAGCAGTAATGATTTCACTTGCCTATCCAAGCACAGCCCGCTTTGCCCTGTGCAACCTGCATCTTCCCCTCCCTGCTCGCATGAGGCAGGCAAGCTACTCACAATGAGACTAGGAACAAAGCAACACCCGGGCATCCATGAGAAGAAGACAAAGTCCTACTCTACCTCTCTCAGAAGAAACTCAGGTTTAAGAGCTATCTTGCTCTGGTCTTTTGCATGGTGCTTATACGGTTGGAAAACACAGATTTAGGTAGAAATGACAGCAGTAGAAGCAGAAATCACTGCTGTTTTCCCCAGGGCCCTATCTACACTTGACTTAGAATTATTTTCATGGATGTGACTATGGCGGTACGTGAATTCATTTACAAACTTTTTTTTTTTCCTGTGCAAACTGCATTTTAGCAATGTTTTGCTCTCAGGAAAGAGTTTGGGTTGTCGTTACAGTGATTGCCTTTTTTTGAATGTCAGCATATCTTAGATTAGAGCAATTACTGATAGAGTCCCACCCATCTAGTCTCCAGCTCAGGCATGCCATTGGCAATGAAAAACTAATTTGGAGAAACATTTGATGCCTGAGAAAGTTTCAAAAGTGGCCTAAGATAACGACAACTCTTCTGTTTGTTATAGGGAACGTCTAGAAAAAGCTCTCTCTCTTTTGGGGGAGGCGTTCCTCCACAGTGTAGCTGATATTATGTGAATTACTGACTGTTAAACACTGCAGCATAATTAGTGAGGTACAAGACACAAACACAGTAACCTGCCTTAAGAGAAGGCAAGGCTCAGAAATGCATTTCCCCTTTTATCATTTAATCCAGCCAACATGACTCCTGCTGCGGTTTCTCAGCTTATACACTTTAAAGGTCTACAGTTACGAAACCTCTAAATATAAGCCTTTTATTACTATTTACATTTCTGGCTCTCATCGTCTCAGAAAATGCCAACGGCAGAAGGGAGGGAAGAGTGGGTTGTATCACAAAATTAGAAACTTTAAGTAATTTCTCTACTGAATACAGGCAATATATAGAATCTATGTCCAGGGCATTGGTCTTTACAAAATCCTAACAGCCCTCTGTTTTAAAAAGGTTGATCCCTCTATACTGTAACAACAAAGAGTTAAATGACTTGTCTCTTTAATGAATAACACCAATCCCATCATTCCTCATATACGTAAAAAGTGTGGTTTTATAGTTTCTCCTGCCAGCCGTTACCTTATAAATCCCATACAAAGGTAAGACCTTTGTTTTATTTCAATACAAATGTCTCCAGCAAATGTTTACACTGCTCTTTTGAAGCTTCCTCAGCCTGCACCACACCCCGGCAACTACATAAAAATGCCATTTGCCTTGAATCCCAGATGCATACTTACTGAACCATTTGTATACACTGAAATTTCAACATTATTTGCTACCACAAATCAACTCTTCTTTAATATAAATATGTGTGTGTGTGTGTGTGTGTGTGTGTGCGCGCGCGCGCCCATGAATGCATGCATGTGTATGTATATACGTGTATACATACACACGCACGAATACACACACAGAGACAGTTTATTAAAGATGGCTCCAAGTCTAATATTACATAATTTCTGGTACAAACTCCCCAAAATAAAGTCTCTTTACCTCCAATCATTAAATTCATTAAATTTTGAGAGTTTTTTTGAGAAAATATTAATTTCCTTCCGAATGAAATGAAAGTTGATGTAACTCAGGAAGGAAATGGATAATTAAGAACATCATAAATCTTACACTAGTCAAAACCTGTACTAAATATCCCTACCAAATTTAAAAAAAATATGGATTATCACAGTACAAATCACTGCTATAGACTGTGTTGTTTCATCAACTTGATTTTACAATTGTGCCCACTGGAATCATGTCTCTCTTTGGCCCACGATGCCTAAGAACCTAATCCAGCAAATCACTCACTCATTGAAAACAGAGCTTATTACTCTATGGGCTATGCCAAAACTCATTCAATAACTGGATAAGTTCCCAGGGGCTTCAACATCCTTTGGATTACAGATCTACATTTCAGTTAAATATAAATATGTGAGGACAGTGACTGCATGCAAGCATACACAACTATTGCACAGCACACAACTGCTATACACACCAAAAACCATGGGCCAGCACTCGCGTGAATAACATATCTGCCAAGATGTCCATTTACTCCATGTTCAAGTTGCATGTCTGCAGAAGTCAGTAATTTCTTGATCTCACTGAGAAGTATTTTTTTTTTTATTTCTTTAAGGTGATATTCTCTTTTACCGACTGTTCACTGAGATTACACTGTTGAATTTAAAGTAAAAGTATGAACTTACTTGCAAAATAACATTGTGTCAGAGGTAACATCACCCTAACCATTTTAAATTAGCAAAGCATTAATCAGAGCGAAGGCCTAGCTAAAAGAGTTGGTATGATTTATGAAAAAGATACTCTTGTCTGACCAAGAGTGTTCTGGTTCTTAATTATCTTTCCTGCAAATTCAATTCTGTCAACAATAAGATTGCAAGCAGGCAGATATATGTCAACTGAAAAGGAAGCTGAACTCTGTTCAAAAGCCTCCACAAGAACTTTGTCAACCTGCCAGATGCTGCAGAAAAATCTTCTGTAGTCAATAGCAAGGCGGTTTTAGCATATCACCTTCTACATATCATAAAAAAACTCTTAAAAGATGGCTGAAAAGTCAGCCAGTTCTCGTTAAGTGTTATTTGTTTTCTCACTTTCCTTTAAAGAATTCCTTTAAAAATACCAAACGTTACATTCAGGTTTAACCAAGGAGGAGAAACCAGCAAATCACCTTGCTTATAAATCATGTATGTTTATATATAGGAGTAAATGTGGGAGTGAAAGGATAATGGACCATACAAAAAGTGTTCCTCACTTCATACGGATGCTTCGTTACTGCAGAGTGTTTTTGTCTTAAGGAAGCATAGGGAAGATTTTAACATGGCTGTAGACCCTTTCCTTTCACTCCCCTGTATGCCAATTCTAAACAATAAATCCCACGGGAATCTCTCAGTAACAGCCCCAGCAGAAAAGACTGTCATTGTAAGAAAAGGTATGGCTCTGCAGAGCCCAACTCTGCTCTCCCGGAGGGCAAAGGGCCTACTGTAGCTTCAGATACAGCAGAGAAAACTCTTAATGGAGCAGCATTTCTGACTTTGGAGCTGTTTCCTCTCATCCACGGGAAACAACGGATAGATTATCCCATAGTTTAAGTATGCTACACTTCCCTTCTGTGCCCCTGTTCTGCTCAGGAGCAGCTGGGAGAGAGGAGACCAGAGCCCACGGAGCCAGAGCCAGTCCCCGGCTCTCATCGGTCTCCAGAGGCGATGGCAAAAGGCCTCTGCCTGTCCTCTCTGAGTTCCCATTTCTTTCAAGTAAGACCCAACTGAGATGCTGCCTTATAAATCCTTAGCACACTCACTTTTAGTATCAGGCAGATTTGGGCTGTCACACTCAGGCTGTTATACCTCCCATCCTAAAGGGCTTCCATGAAGAAGGTACCACTCAGCTTGAGTGGGGGAGGAGGAATCTGGCTTTAAATCAGCTGCCCTCCAGGTGGAGTATCAAAGTGAGAAATCTGATGCTTAAGATATGTCTCACTAGATGTAGGATTTAGACTCCCAGGAGAGACAGGGATATTCTGTTAGGTTATTTCTTTGTCTTCTTTTTCATTTTTAAAGATTGCTCCCCTGTGTGGTTCCAAAGATTGGTCTGGATTATTTTTAATCCTTCCCAGGCCAGTGGAGAGCTTTGTCATGTAACATCTTAGAGGCCCTGGAAAGAACTGCTCTGTACTGTTTTTGTCTGACTCAAAAGAGAAGGGTCTTTGTGCTCGTGAGGTTAGTTTTAATCTTGAAATTGTGGAGAAAAGGGAAAACAGCACTGAGCAGAAACAATGGAGCCAGTTTAAGGATCATCGTTCAAAAAGCTTAAGAAAGGAGAGTCTGTAATTAGGTCTTGAAATTCTTTAGCTCTCTTGGATGAGGTAATTGCTGGAGAAAAAACAGCGTTCTGTGACGTGACTCTGAATACACCACTTTCAAACACCGCAGGGGGATTCTATGGGAATTCCCAGTCTGACTGAGCATGACTGGTTATTTTATTAAACTCTGCTACAAGAGCAAGCATGTATGTGCCTGTACCTTTGTGCAGCGCAGGGGGAATTCTTTAGAGCATGGTGATAACCTGAAACATACAACCTGACTTACACTTTAGTGCCTAGTACCAAGTACTGTTATGAACCTTCTTACTGTTATCAATACCTTTTCAGTTTGAGCTCCTAAAAGACTAGATATTTAATAATCACCCCCAAATAAATAAGCATAAGACAATACATGTTTTAATTACTACGTCCTACAGAAATAGAAGTGGCTCTCTTAAATGTCACTCCTCACAACTTTTTACTCCAAAAACAGCAACAGAGCCATAATTTTAAATTCTTACAATTTACTTTCCCAGTGATTATAGTGAGAGTTGTATTCTTAATGTTTTGGCACCCAGGGAGGGAACAGTGTGAATGGTACGATATTAGAAAGGAACAAAACGGCTGAGGGTAACACCTGATATTAGCACAAGAGACTTTCTTGCTCCTAGATCAATATGCTGTGTTGATCAATCCGGCTTGCAGCTGCAAATCAAGTATGTTAAAGAACTGCTAGCCCTGGCAATGGTGATGGGTAATCACTGCTAGGAGGAAGAGTTGAGACTGCTGTCCTCTAGACCGGTTAGTGCTTCTGTCAGAGCGCACACAGCCAGTAGGCTTGTGAAGGTCCCTAATGTTGGAGATCCCAAATGAATTCTGTATTTTCCTGCACAATGACCACATGCACACAACGGTCATCTGTTGTGACTGCAGAGGACAACATAACACTGTATTTTTAAATGGGGTCACATAATAGCCACATCCTCGTTTTAGGGGAGTATCTGGGGTGGGGAGAGTGAGTATACATGAGTAAACATGACTACATGAGTAAATATGGCAATAATAGCAACTGGGCCAAGTACAAGTCTATTTACCCAGGCCCAGCTTTTGAAAGAGCTAGGCAGTTTTCAGAATTATTGTCTTTTCTTTACCTAGTGCTGTGTTCTTTTAAAACGTGTATCCACTGTGAAAAACCCTGTTACTAAAGCTTTCAGCATCTTCAGTTAAAAAACAAGTCAGGATAGTGAGTGTTAATGCTACCACTCAGTGCTCAATGCAGTCTCCCACAAGGAGGACACTACTCTGTTAGAAACGCAGAGAAGAACTCTGCATGAAGCTCTGCATTTGAGAGACCCTTAGTATTACCTGAATGTTGGATGTTTTGCGTTCAGTACGAAGACAGTACCGGGAGTTTGCTAAGCTTGACAGCATTTGCTGTTTATTATTTATAGAACCCCCCGAGAACCCCACATTACCCCCACCCATTTTACACACCCCATCTCCCTTGCTATTTGCTTGCTGAGGATTACCTGCAGCTTTTCATTTCTGCTCCACTAGTTCATGCAGCTAAAATATTCTGCTACCCTTCAGATGTCCTTATCAATAAGACACTTGATAAGGTGCTCTGCTGTCCTGGTTCATAGGTTCACTGTAGCTGTCACATCCCCAAGTGCAAAAACCCCATGTCTGAGGTATTTGACCAGTTTAAAAAAAAAAAATTAACCAAAAATATGCTCATTTGCAATTGCAAGGCCAGTCTGTGTTACCTTATGGAAAACAATGGCACATACACCAGAGAGGGCGTAGTGTAGTTTACAGAATATTGATTATTGGTAATGTTAATATTGCAAAAAGGAAGATGATAATCTAGAGAAAGGAAACACTCACCTTGTGTCCTACACTGACCTTGCAAGTAGGAAAAAACCTCTTACTGCTTCTCAGGCTGGGCACATTTTAAATGGAAAATCACTGAGAGGCCAGCCACAACTAAGAAACTATGCTCTGACAGCCATGCAAGTTTTCCTCAGGACTGCATCTCCTTTTATTTGGCAGGGATATACGTGTGTATGCAGTATCATACAGCTGATACATACCACCTCGCCTTTTATGGATGATCACAATCCTTGGAGCCAAGGATAGACCAAGGTTTGCCTGGCTGTGAGGAGAGAGAGCTTTCTCATCTCCACCTATCCTTCTTACATTTGTTATAGAGGAGAGAGGAGTGGAACAGTGACTGAGGGTGAGTGCTTTTTGTAAACAAATACAATCTACATAACTTTTCCTTACCTTTGCCTCCTCATTGACATCCCAAGTAAAGGACACAGCATTGAAGGCAATTTCTTCAATATTCCCAATGGTGTTAAAACTCTCCTTGTAATCAGCTGTAACAAATAACAAACAGAAAAGTCTCATGAAAAAGGATTCTCTTCTATAGCTCATAGTACAACTGTGGAGTTGCCATTTGCTTTTTCAAATGGGTTGTCTAATACCACAGAACTACCTATGGTATTGCTTTGGTATTGTTATTAATAAACTATTTGCAAAGAGGTAATATACTGCAGCTTGAGTCTTATGCATACTACATCATTAGCTAATGTTCTTGCAAAATATTCCTTACTCTCAAAAAGGAATCAACATGACTGTAGTGGGAATGAGTGGGCGCACTCATTAGCTTGACTGTAAAAAGGAATAACTAAAACTGGAAATTTAACTCAGGCTGTTGAAACATTAAAAGGAACGTCTGAAGTTTGACATAAAGAAATGACATTAGGTACAACCTAAAGAAGATTTCTAATAGGTTAAGATGCAGCTATTACCCCTTGTCACTGGAAGAAATAACCAGTAGTACCCACTTCTTGCTCAAACATTTTGTCATTCCTGAGAATTAGAGCACCAGATGCTGTATCTCTGTCAAATACCCACAGAAATCATTTCTCCAAAGTACAAGTGATACTAAAATAGCAAACAAACCATAGCGATTTTTAAATTGTCTGAATACAAAAACTGCACCCTCTTCTCACTTATTTCCAAAGGGCCTTTGATATTCTATTACCAAGTAACTAGCATTCCTAAAAGGAGTAAAAAGCAAGAGAGAAGCAGCCTGAATTTCAAATACAACAGAAAAAATAGTAAGAGGAGAAAAGCACATAAGGGAGAAAACTTCCAGGTCTTCCTTGCAATTGAAAAGCAAAGTGGGACAAGCCCCCTTTTTTCTCCCTTTGCTTAATGCGCTTTGTTCTCTCGGACAGGTTAAGAGAGAGACCAGGTTGGTATGGAGGTCCTATCTGCTTGATTAAAGGAACTTTCAGATTCTTCAAGAAAATACGTTACCTCTCTCTGGTATCTACATATTTCCTTAGAATCCCTTGAGGCCTGTAATTGGTCTCAGTACCAGAGGACTCAAATTATGCAATGCAGCAATCTTGATCTTTTTAATTTTTGCCCAAATCTGTATTTCAGAAGCATGTTGATTCTTAGCTTTGTATGCAGTTGTAGGAAGAGGATGGTTTTGTATTCTGTAAATGAGAGACCCAAATGGATAACCCCTTTCCCTGTTTACCTTTTTAAAAATAAAGTACTGGTCTCTAAAAACAGTAAGATAACAATTGTTTCAAAAGCATTCATAACAAAATCATTGTTGCAAGGAGAATGACTTAACGTAAAAGAGAGACAAGCAATTAGTATAACTTTCTCTCATCTGACAGGCAGAGATGCTGGGATTTTACCAGGCAAGTGAAACTGTGCACTTGAGATACCTGAAAGGACTTTGGACACTGTAAGAAATCCCTGTTCTGACCACAGGCATAACAAACACATTCAGTGATGCAGCCACTGAACATGGTGTTTGAGAGGGGTGGCAGGTTTTTACTCCCTTCATGAACTCAGATCCCCTTTCTAACTGAAGTCATTGGCTTCGCTGTCTAAATTCAGTGTGGGAATTCAAATGAGAGGAATTAGAAGACACATAAGTAGTTTAATATGCATGTGCACACATCCACCCACCCCTTAAACTTATGATTCACCAAAAAAGTGCCTCGTGCAACTGCCTGCTGCATATGGGCGTGCTGTGTAGGTGCTCTTTGGAAAGACATGAACAAGATGCCTTGTAAAGACACATGTTTTCTTCTCAAAAAAGGGTGTCAGAACCTGGCATCCCACCAACCCTTCCCTTCCCAACACATGCCCCCGCTTCTTTAATTGCCACACACAAATCTCATGAACTGTATATGTGATGTGCTGTTTAAAAGCAGAATTGCATTCTACTCCCGTTAATTTACAAATAATTTTAAAAGATTCTTAGTAGATTAAGAGAGCCTTTACATCCAGGAGTATCTGAAAAGTGTTAGCGTGACCATGATTTCTCTTCTCCTGCTGCTGTGAGTTACCAGAAATAGAAAATTGGGGTTCTTCGATATGGAAGAAACAACTTTACAGGAGTTCCTCTTTTGCTGGGTAAGCTGCACACTAAACAATGACAGATTTCAACATTAAGCACTAATCATTTGCATTTACTATATGCCATTGTAATAGTTGTTGTATTGAGCATATATATAATACAACCTATGCTGGAAAAAATATGGGTAAAACTAGAGCACAGATAACCTCATTCTAAAGCTCCTATACCCACTCTTGTATGTCTGTGCTTGAAGGTGTACCAGTATTGGTCAAATTATGGTACTGCTTCTGAGCAAACAATACATATTTGCTGTAATCTAGTATTGTATTCTTTATGCTGCATTATTTTAAAAGGGGAAACTCAATGTCACTGCACAGTACTGTGAAGAAGTCAGAAATATTTCTCACTCCTGCCGCTAGAAAGTGTATAAGTTGCCTCCTTTTTCACAAAAATCCATAGTTGCACAAAGCCTAAATTCTGGAGAACGCTTTTTATTTTTGCTTAGTAAGTGTCAAGTCCTCAAGTCTACTCCCTCAAGCACCTAGCACTTGCTTGAAGTACCTGCTTATCCTATTAATGTCAATGTATCTTCAGGTCTCATACTGAATCTAACTCATCCAACCATCCTTCAGCCTGGAAGGTATACCAGCCAGCATGCAAAATAAATTAAATCAGTGACCCCTGCATGTCTAGAGTGAGTGAACAAGTCACTATTTCCTCTGGTCTCCAGAATACACCTGCAGGTCAGAAGGCAGACACACTGAAGAAAGCAACACAGGAAGAAGGGTCATTTCTATTTGAGAATAGGATTGAATATTTGGATTCCAGAATCAGAATATCTCAAGTTCATTGATGATTTGATTATTAAGAACCTTTCCTATTACTAACTGCTTCGCACTGAGACCAGCAAAAAATCCACATAATTTCAGTATTTCGTTCATTACCAAAAGAAAAAGTTCTCTTGTGCTGAATGACTTACTTACAAAGACGCATGATTTTACCGCTAACCAGATATATTCCAGCCTAACTCCAGGAATGGTATCCTGACACCAAAGAATATCCAAATACTGATCTATCAGTCTTCTGTGGGCCCTCATCTCACACACAGCAGTAGACAGTTTTCTGAAAAAACTCAGGAACAGCCCAGACCCAAAACCTAGCTCTGGAACTTCTCTGAACTCAGCAGATTCATATTCTCAGTTTCAATTTGCAGCTGATGGCCATTACCAATTAAAAAAAATCAAAAACACATAAAGTAAAAAAAGGTTCAAAAAATGATTAATATAACTGTTTATCAGTAGAGAGAAGTTAGCAGCATAGTAGTAGGTATCACTCTTGAAGCCACCACGAGTGCATAATAGCTGAAGTTAAACAGAAAAAAAAAAGCCTTTGTCACCTTTTGTTATGGTGCAAGTCATACTCTAGATTAAAAATTCATTCATAAACGTTTAAAAAGGACTCGCAAATGTTAAACCTTACAAACATTTAAGTTGACATAATACTAATGGTTATAAGCGTGTCTATGGAACATGTTAAATATATTTATGGCTATTTATATAGAGATAGTTTAAAAGGAATCTCATAAAAGATTAACCCTTTATATACTCTTCATGATAAATTTTTTAATCTGAAGTGTAGGCCCTTATATACTACACACCATGGTACTGTGGGCACCCAGTGGGACAAATATTCAAAATCCCTGATCCAAAGTGTCTCTTCAGCAAGATAAGGAAAATAACACACCAAATCTGGGTGAGAAGAGATGAGAAGAAAAACAGCCACTGGAGTAGGAGAGGAATACAAAATGCAAGTCCAAATACTGTTCAAGCCCTACCACACCAAAAAAGGTACTTTGTAAGTACAGAACATTATATGTAGCCCCCAACATTGTACCCTGGAAATGATAAAAATTAATATTTATTAACTTCAGGTAACAAAGGTTATTTTGCTATGACTTTAATCTTCAGTGACCACAAATGAACCCTGAAGCTAGGACTTGAACCCAGATTAGTGCCCCAGTCACTACACTCCAGTGTTCCATTTACTTTCATGAGCCCTATCTCTTGTTTTGTGGGTCAATGATCACAGGGAACAGGCTTTAACAGGAAAGCACAAGGACTCCCACCGCTGCCACTTCTCTAGACCTGATTCCCACTCAGGAGTGGGGATACTGTTCGGGGAGGTGAGGGCAGGAATTTCCTTAGGCTACAGAGCTAGCTGCCCCTAGGTCCTTCCAGGTCATGGGTAAAGTTTATATAAAGAGAATCTCCTCCTTTTCTGCTCAAGTTTTGAAAAAGAAAATAATGACTTGGGGTGGGCGGGGGGAGTTTGTATTTATGCACGCTGGCAGGATTTATTAAAGCAGTCAAGCCAGAGGTTCCAAACTAGGGGCCAGAGCTCCAGAAAGGGACACAGACCAGCAAGTCACAACCCTAACAGAGATTTGCCTGTAGAAATGTAGCTTGTCCCTAGGAGTGGGACCCAGAATAACAAGCAGAAATGGGTCTACCAGAAGAGAGAGATTGCCAGCCCATCCCTTGGAGACGGACAGAACCTGGTAAATATGCCTGTCCTGAGCAAGCCTCTCTCACTCTCAACTGACAGCACAGGAGCCAAATGTCCACAATTATAAGTCCCTAACAAGAGGAAAAGTGTTTCAAAAACACTGTAATTGCTAAGAGCTAAGGCCTTATTTCAACTGCTCTCAAGAAAATACTACTTAGTAACATCTAGGTCTTCTGATAACGCTGAGGCAAACTGTGTTCTTATAGTTTTTACGTTTGACAGGGAGTGCTGTATTAGTAAGTCCCATTGCACCAGGCTTTGCTTACATTTGTAGTCTAAATAGGGTACACATCAGAGTGCCACAAAAGCCAGAACACGCTCATCTCATCTCAATTTCATCTCAAATTAGTGGAAACATAAAAGACATTCATTTTAACACAGGTAAACATATAGCTCATGCTATACAGCATTTGTTTTGCAGAGCACTGTTTTCCAGAATATGTATCACAGGCTGACTCACTTGGGTAAGGGGACTGGAATGTGTCAGGCACACTGTGAGTGAAATCCTGCTGCGGCAGTCGGAGGGTGTTGGCACTGCAATGGAACCAGCTTCTCGGCACATACCTTCGAAGGTATTGCAAGCTTGTACGGACTAGCACAAAAGCAGGCAGCCTTAATAAATAGCTGTGACATGACATACTTGCTCTTTTAATGTGTCACGATAGGAGTCATTTGGTCTGAGGTGGAGGTTTACTGCCTTAAGTACTCCAAAAGAGAAAAAAAAAAAGTGAGGGAGAACGTTTTCAGCCAGAACTACAATGATCAGACAAGAGGCAGAGAGGAGATTCAGGAATAGCTGCCCAGTAGCTTTGACCAAATACACTTGACTTTAAATAATGCCAACCTCACTGCAGGCTGCAGCATTTGAAAGTCAAGAGGTACTATGCGAGCAGGACCACTTAGGGACTGCTTCCCAGGGCTGGAGATGTTTGATCACCCTTGAAGTATTGTAGTGCTTTCCTCAGTGCTTTCTCCAAGTCACTGCTTTTTTTCCCCCTCTGCCCCCTCTCATTCCTGCCATTCAATGGTTTGGTTCCCTCAGGCGGTCAAAACAAGATAGACTTTGCCCGCTTTGGTCTAGCCGACTCCTTTGACTGGAATCCCCTGCAGATGGCTGCACTGCGTGTGTAAACTGCATGTGGGAGGGCTTGATGTCTAGACACTCCCACAGATTTCGACTTCGGGCTCCTTGGCAGTAGACATATGTTCTTCCTCTGCTGAAAGCTTCCCAAGCATGTGGATAGGGCAGTTGTGGCTGAAATGGGCTTGTAAATACTTTAGATGGGATGAACAGTAAATAGTGCTCTCAGGTCAGCACAAACCTCAGAGTTTCTCCCTTACTTCTATGTGAGACCAACAACAGTCAGAAGCAGGGATGCAGGAGTCCTCTGTGCTCATTTACAGTCCCAACAGGGACAGCAGCATGACTCTGAGGCTGCAGTGACACAACACCAAAGTCTCTTCAGCAACACGGGCCCAATACATTCACCCTCCCTGTCCCAGCAGCCCACTCCATCAGATTAGCCGATGTAACTGTTATGTGAGCTGTCACTGGATCACAGAACGGATCATTCTTTGAAGAATCAAACAAAACAAGCACCCTGGCCATTACTGAGCAGACACAGACATCGATCCCAGCAGCATGGGAATGGGAAGGTGGAACGCCATTAAATACATATGCAAGTGATGGCCTGGCATTGTGACTCCTGAGGATCACTCCTGCTGCAGAAGCACAGGTCTCTGCTGCTTCGCAGCTCCCCTCACCCAGTCCTTGCAGGGATGAGCCATTGCTAAGAACCACTGCACAAACCTTGCAGCTATTGCCAGATATCCCACCATATCTCTGGGCAAGGTTCCAGAGAAATTCCGAAATACCGAATTTCCAAATTAGGTAATTTCCTCAGAAACATCCCGAGATACTTACCAATGTCAAGGACCCTCTGTTTAGCTGTGTGCTGCCGAGAATGCCAGTATTTCCAATATTTCAGCTGTTCATCTCTGTTTTTATCCTCACTGAAAACAACCATGACCACACTCTAAGAAAATCAACAAAAGTTGCATTAATTAATATGTATTTAATATTCAGAAACATAGAAATAAAAAACTCCCATATGCTCTAATGCTCTCAAATCTCTCTAATGCTGATCCAGTCACCCCTCTCCCACAGTACGTGGATTGTAAAAGATCACCGAATTTTATTCCAGTCCAATACTGCAGTGTACTTAAAATCTCAGCGCAGAAGAAATGCAGTTTTAAAATAATGCAAGGCCTAGGATTATGCTCTTGATATTCTAAATAAAATTTAATCATGTTCCTAGTTAGCTTTAGGTAAAAAGTGATATTTTCGAAGTCAGAGAATCCCCGATTCCAATTCTGACCAAAGTACATTCTAGGCATAACAGTTTAGATTCCTTGTGCCTCTGGAAGATCACATTAAGCTATAAGAGGATGTGTTGTTATGGAGCTCAGGCTTGCCTGGCTAAAAGCAGGCCATTTTCAAAGACTAGCTTAGTAGCCCACGGGTTACTGGTGACAAAGCTGTGGAGAAATCAGAACGTGAGAGAGAAGTTTCATTGCGTGTTGTCTTGCCATTGGGAGTAAAAAAGGAAAAGTCAATTTGTGTGGATCACATCTGTGTAAATGCACCCTGATGAAAATGTAGTAGTTAAGTTGCTGTAACCATCAAAAACTCCAATTTTATTCAATAAAGTATCTGAGCACAATTACAACACAAGTGGTAACCAAGTTGATGCTTTTCTTTTATCTTCCTTCATGAATAGACAGCTTCAGCGTTCTTAGTCCAAACACCCTTCTTATGAGCAGGACGCTCGCATATATGTATTTAATGACAAACTCAGTGTGAATATTTACTAAGTTTCACTGAGCTTTTCAGTTCAAGTTCTGGATTCCCATTGTTTAAACTGTATGATTCAAAGGAAATAGATTGAAACTTTATTGTACAACTTCACATGACTAATAAAAGCTTTTTTAAAAAGCCCTTCTCTAAGCAAGCAAAATAAAAAACACAAAACAATAGAAGAACGCTCACACTAGGTAAACGGGAGTGAAAAGAAATCATGGAGAATAAAATGCACTTTTCAACATCTTCTTTTGTGCTAATTCTTCCCTTAACCCTGAGTCACCAAGCTCATAAAAAATACTAACAAACCGTTTCATAAGCAGAGGAATTAATGATTGATTCATGACCCACCTTCATCACAGTAACTCTGCATGTGCTCTGTGACCTCCTCCTTTCTACCCCATAAGCTAAACTTCATCATCACGTCTTCCATGTCCTCTAACTACTGTCCGGGCAAGAGGCAGTAAATGCAACGGATAGGTCTTGAGTTTTGCACATGCACACTGGCTGGCCAGCAGGTATGTGCTACCTGGCCAGCTTGGCAGACTAATCAGAACTGGCAGTTCAGGCTGCAGCTTTTCTCTCAAGGACAGCATTGATTTGGGTCTTTTTCCTCTATGAACCATTTAAATGGAACTTGTTGAGGTTTAGTATCTTGTAAACTCCTCACCACCCCACCAGGTGAGGTTGGACTTGGCAATAAATTCAAAAGCTACTTGAGTACTTAAGCCTGGTGAACAGAACCTGACCGTGAAAGTTGGCTGCGGTTTCACAATCTTCTTTAAACCATACAGCTGCTAAAAGGAACGGTCTTACGTCTCCCTACCTCTACCATTTCTACCCTTCTGCTGCCGCAGCTTCAAAACTCGTGTGGTTATGCAGTGGATCAGAATTACGTGGACTGGTCGTCAGCCAAATCAGCGAGCTAATCTGATTCCTCTTTCAGTTCTACAAGTAGTAGAGCTGGCACCACAAAGGGGGAAGGCATGGGTGGCTGGTGGAGGGAGAGCCTTTTCAGCAGTAGAGAATTCTTAAATCAGCTTTGGCCAAACTCTATAATCAGCCCCACGTCCTTAGGAAAACAGGCTAAAAATGAACTACTATTCAGGTTTATAAACCATAGCCTCTCTTTAGGAAGAGGGCCTCTACACCTCACAGACAATAGAAACGTATAGGCTGTTGTCTGCTTCACTGCTCATATTGACTTTCATTGGTTCCTGCAACTAAAGTCACAACATTTTTATGGTACTTCATTTATTTGGGTGGAAACACTTTTGTAACCTCATACATATGCAGCCCTTTCAGCTTCAGGGTGAAATTTGCAGGGCAGCAGCTCTGAGGCTCATTGTTCTTTCCAAGGTTACTGGGTTAAGATTTGCTTACTCAAAAACATTACCAGGGAAATCAAGTCTATTCACTAGTCAGATGCTGCTGAACATCCAGTTCCAGTTCTGCTTTCAGAATCTGAGAAGATGCCTTAAGTGAATATCAAGCAAAAGCATGACACCTTTATAAGAGATGTATTTAAAAATTTATGTCACATAGACTTTCAAAGAATGGCTTCAACTCCTAACAACTTCAGTGCTAGAAAGACTAAATTAAGTTTTGTCTGAAAGATACTGGACAGCACCTGCTTAAGTGTACAACGGAGTAACAATGGACTTAAAGGGTTTAGCAGTTCACTGATTTTTTTTTTAAACTACAGCAATGGTAAGTTCACCAACGTCAAGCCCAATACATGTGCAAGTAACTTTAGCCAATTCATAAACTAAGGCAAATACGTATATAACTGACCAGCTCATAAGATTGGACATTGAAAAAACTGGACCACAACATAGCTGACATCACCAGAGATAACACTCTCCCACCTTATGTTGGGGATAAGAGTGAAGTTGTTCTGTCCTCTCCCATGAGAAAAAAATTTTTTAAAAAAACCCAACCCAAACTACATGTATCTGAAGAGCTCCGCTCCCATCTAGGAAAGAAGTTGGACTATACCCTGACTTTGCTGATCGGATGCCGGAAGCATTTGTTGTCACCCGTCTCACTCAGGGTAATGGCGTAGAACTGTCCTTTGTTTAAATAGGTCATTGGCCCTTCCCCTTGCTTTTGACGCAGAGATTTGGTAGCTTCTAGTGTATACTGAAAAGTGCTGTTGAAAAGACAGGGAGAGAAACACCAACAAAATCTGTATCACTTTTTCCTTTTCTTTTTGTCCCTATTTATTATATATTTCAGGCATTATATAAGCATGGCATGAACAAATAAGAAGCTAATAATAAACTCCACGAAAAGGTCACACTTCAAGAATTAAAAAATATTATTTCTTTTTTCAAATTCATCAGATCTGGCAACTGAGCATAATAAGCCTAGCTGGACTGTAAGTCTCTCCAATCAAAGACGACATCTTTGCTTTCTCTGACAATAACCATCATAAAGTACAAGGCTATGTACCCCTCAGTGAAAAGGATAAATGCTAGGAGGGAATACAGCATAATTTGCAGTATTACAAGGAAATCAGCTGCCTCCACTGATATTAAAACTTATATAAACTTAAAGTGTCACAGAAAGAAAAGTTCAAAAAGAATAGAATAAAACTTGATGCAAGAGATGCATATGGAAAATGGAAAGTCCAACTGCTACTTTCAGCATAAGGCAGAGAAGGAATACAAACAGAAGGGACAGTAGGTTCATGTAAAGACAATATACAATCAATTCTTTTCAAAATTAATCAGACAGCATAAAATACCTACATTTAATTGGATTCTGCAACTAAATGATCTCCCTTCAAAAAACAGACAAAATTTAGAGAAAAAGACACAGCTTGCCTTTGTGCTAGAATTGAGATTTTAGAAAAGGCCCTCCTTCATAGGAGAACCTTTTCTTCATCTTTAGAAGCAGTTCTTAGACCGTGACAAGTTTAAAGTACTATTACTAGTGAACCGCTTGCTGAATGCAGTTCTCACAGAGCCTCTTCCAGCTGCCTCCTCCAGTAACGGTCTTGAACAATAATCCAATAAAAACTGTGCCTGAAGCATCTCACATTCTCTTAAATGAAAAATAATGTTTGCCCTTGCAGAATAAACGTTCTCTTCAAACTGCATTTGGTCACCACAGGAAATTTAATGCAAGGAGTCACTTACAGGATGTCCCCACAAACTGAGGATGGGGGAAGCATTTTCACAAAGGTCCTAATTCAGCAAAACATTTAAGCAGTGGTAGAGTAGCACCAAAAGGATGGATCTGCTGGTCTAAAACAACAGCGCATCCTTAACTTTCTAGTTCAAGCAAATACTCCAGGATGTCATAACACTGCCATAGCAATATGGAAGTAAGGGAAAGACCAAAACATTTTTTAACTATTCAATGAAAAAAAAAAAAGTCACTGAAATGCATGAATAATACTAACACTAAAATCTCTACTTGAAGAAAAAAAAATATCGTGGTCCACTTTCTTTCCATCCAAAGAAAGACATTTCAGATAGTTTAATATCAACCTGAAAGGAAGACAATTTCCAAGTGTTTTTGATTACACTAGCTTATATATGTAAAGCCAGCCATCTTTCTAGTTGCTTAAAAGCTACAAATCAAAGTAAAGTTAAAATGAAAAATCAATACTATCATAGACCTAGGACACCTACTGATCACAAGCGCTTCCAAGCAACCAGATGAACTGCTGGTGCTGAGAACCCTGTGACCACCCGGTGCATGCTTTGGTGAGGGGAGTGCTTTGGACCAGCTCTTGTCTTCTCCTGTGGCCTGGATGCCCATTAATGGTTGGTGCACATGCTCTGATTTAGTTTGACATGAAGGGAATGCAGACATTATACTCTGAGAGTACTGCCGTGAACCCGTGCCTGCTAAGCACCCTGAGAGGTGCACCTCACTACCTCTGACCAGACGGAGAGTCAAATAAGGACACCCTCTAAGAAGGGCTTAGGATGAACCAAAGTCAGATACACAGTGTCATAACAGAACTGCCTAAGTCTGCAACTCCTTGGTCTTCTGTTTATTGGTATTCTGTAAGTTTCAGAAAGACTTAAAAAAATGTAAAGCCCAGACACACTGCACCTGGCCAATTATTAAATCTTTGTGTTGTACCACAAGGGAAATTTCTTCTTGATCCCAGCTGGCAATCAGATTATGCCCTAAAGCAAGAGGACTACCATTAGCCTCATAAACTTAGCACAATCATCACTCAAATGATTCTAATCCTGTTCTGAATCTCACCATGGGTCTTAGCTAAAGCCCTCTGCAGTTGTCAAGGGAGCTTTTATCAGGCCTTCAATTACTTTCATATTCCCTACTTGTTTTTTAATATGAAGATTTCATTTCTGAGCACCTACTTCCAGGTAACTCCCTAAAAAGATGTATTTTGGTCTTCTGAGCGTGGATGTGGAAGTTGTATTCTAAAGCTGACTTGGGTGATAGCATGAAAGATTTTAACTTCTGAGAATTGTTAATGATGCCAATGCTCCATTTTATAAACATCCAGCACAGCAAACGAGAACTCTTTGCTAAAGATCTGCTTCGTACGTGCTCCCTGTATAATGACTCAGGTCTGAGCCCACTGAAGTTAATGATTGTTTCAATATTCATCAGAGAAAAGATCAGGCTGTAAGAAACCTCTGCTACAGGAACAGTCATATGCCTAAAATGAGAGTAATCTCTGATATTAACAGAACTATTCACAGGCATAAAATTAAGCACCAGCTTAAAAATGTCATTGATCTTAATCTTTATTAGTTAAGCGACTATGTTTAAGTTTGCCCATTCTATGCGTGCATTTTTCTGTGCTTAGCAGGGAAGATGGAATTCCTTTCAAACTTCAGTTTTTGAAACTTGTTTTTTTACATGGTTTGTAATAGATACTTTATTTATATTGTTCACATATAGACAGGAAGTACCACACCAGAAAGTGTAAAAAGACAGAGAGTTTCCCAGAAAACCTACTAGCATAAGGAAGAAATAAGAAATAATAATAAGAAGAAATAACGAATTCCATAAAGTTAGTGGAGCCAGTTCAGCCACCCTGGACATCTGAATTGTGCATCCCGCCAACCTGAAAGGTGGGGAAGATCTTCCACGACCTGGCTGTCACAGCTGTGCCCTCTACCCAGGGGACCTCTCGTAACAGTTTTATTCTTGTATAATTCCAGGTACTCCAGAGTACCTGGATACAACTTTAAATGGCATGGGGGAAGATAACAGATATAAAGATATATAAGATATAATCCAGTTAGATTCAAAGGCTAACATGCGCTGGAGAAGAGGGGAGGAGTTGGAGGGGAGGATGCTGGTGAGCATGAAGAGAGCGCTGCAAGGGCCCCAGGCAATGAAAGGCAGGGTGGGAAGCGGACACAGGGAGCTTCGTCTTGATACATTTTTGTGATGCTAGTCAACACATTTCCAAGCTTTTGCCATACCTGGTTTGTTCGTAAATATATTCTTCAGCCCCCACTGACACACTGCGATACTTCTGAAAAATAAAAACACCAATTAAATATAATTTTATACAGAGTAAACAAAACAACCAATACAAGTAAAATTATATTTATTTAGAGACCCCCTCAGAGGAAACCATCAGCCATTGAATACCCCAAATTCCTATTAACTGGAGCAGACTTTACATGATCTTCAAACTAGAATTGATAGAGAGAATTTATTTATGCTAAGCTTTTGGATTTTTTCATAACCTAGATCACAGGAACGTAGCAGAAAAATCTCTTCTGCCTTATTGAACTCCTTGCCTGCACATTAATATATTTTAAAACAAGCCTATAAAAACACACTCCATCTCAAAGACGAGCAGATTTTCAAATGAAATTATAGTTTATCTAGAGACTTCACACTACTTTTGTTTTGTTTTGCTTTATTTAAATGAATTTACATGGCTGGCTGTCCTGAAGGCCCACATAGAAATGTTGGGAAAAATTTCAGTTATTATACTGCCTAATTCGAATAGGTGTGGTGATACAAGCTAAGGAACTATTTTACCTGCACCATAAGATTCTGTTCAAGTGAAATATACACTCTACAACATGAAAGCAGATCTATAGTCACTTTATAAAATGAAAACACATCTATCAAAAAAGAATTACATCAAGAGGCAGAATTCTGAAAAACAAGGACTTTTGCACAGACTAAGCAAGGATTTATGCTCTGTCGTCCTGAGCAAACGAGCCCACTTGCACCCTACTATGTAAGCCCTGCTTTTTCCTCTTGGCTCACCTTCTGCTTGAAACATGTTTTTGCTGAAGTCTCTCTGATTCACTAACAGATCATTACATTTAATCTCCAGGATTTCTTTTGTGATAACTACTCAGCAATAAAAAGCTCTTTTGTTTCCACAAGCATCAAGTCAGGCAATTTGTAAAACAGTTTTTAATTTTAACTTACACACAATCGTGCCACAATGCAGTCAGAGAGTAGTGAAGTGCAAAGGTATTGTGTACCGGAAAGGAATATTTCCTGAAGATCAAAAGTCAAGGATCCATATGCATTGACACAGATAAGCTAACTACTGTAAGAAGTCTGACATCTGAGGGGTATTACAGTCAAGATGGTTTCATATTAACATGTAAGTTACATTTTATAGAAAGTCTGTAAGTAACATTTTCAAAAACATTCCAGTGATTTACCCATCCTTGAAAATTTTGGCCTGTGTTTTTAAAAAACTAATAAATTAATCATAGCTATAATAAGAATATGAAAGATATGAGAGAAGAATATTTACACAGATGGCTAAAATTGTATCAGAAGAACACAGCATCCACTGCCACAGGGAGCTATGGAAGTCAGCACTCCTTTGGTATAACAGAATTAAGTCATTCAATAAACATTTTGAATCAACGTATAAATACGCAGTCATAATGTGTTTAAAACTGAGCAGGTATCAGAGCAAATTCATTTTTCGTCAGAGCAAACATCACTTTTACCAAGTGAATACGAAAAGTAAAAAGATCTACTTTACTCTTACTCCAAACACATTACTTTAACACACTTTCCTCTTTTGGTATGTTTTGACATTTTGCTTTACGCTGCCCTGCAGCATTCCCCAGAGCGGTGCGGGACTGGGGCAGGTTCATCGCAGATGGGGACAGTGGGGAAAAGAACAAGTGACGGGGGCAGTTCCCAGTGTGGCTTTTGGCAGTGGGGTGCAAAGGCCCTGCCCTCTCCCCTGCGTCGCAGGTGCGTGAACATTTTGGGGTGGAAGGCCACTGACAGCAGCACTCGTAACGTAACTTTTAAGCAGCTCAAGGTAGGGACCTAGTTAAAGGTAGTAGCTTCATCTCCTCATAGAGTGGAGAGGAGAGCAAGGAGGGAGAAGGAAAGAGAGCTACAGGGCAATTCATTCACCCCACTTTAGGCTTAGGCACCCAGATTTGCCCTGCCTCATGGACTCTCCATGGACTTCAGAGAAAGCCTAGATGACAAGTATCATACTTTGTTTTTAAATATACCGCAAAAATGACTAATCATTTTAAGAAAATATATGTAACTGATATCATAACATGGATTCTGGGATGCAAGGCCAGCTTACAGATGTAATTTCCCTTTTTAGCCCCAAAGCCAAACAATTTTGCACATCTGACAGACAGCACTTTGTAGAGAATGGACTGCCTATTTGGGTGACTTTCAGCAGTCTGTCCCATAAGAGACCAGCACACTGGAATGGCTCTGATACAGCACCCTTGGGAATGCCAGGTGTACGTTATCACTGGACTCCCATAAAAAGTCATTTACCAGTAACAATGAAACAATGTGATTTGATAATGCAGAATCATGTTTCTAGGTTAGATTTTGCTGATTTTTCAATGGCAAGCTAGATTTCTTCATTAATCATTCATTCAGTTGACCTACATATGTGTTTCTATATCTTAACATGGATTTCACCTCCAGATGTCCTGATCTATAATGCTTGTTTAGAGCTGATTTACATCTTTATAATATATACACACAAGCAGACACTAAATTTCTCATATATTCAGTCAGAGTAATACATACAGCCTTAAAGTTGCTTTGGTCCTGTACTTTTGTATAATTAATAATTTCATGGAGGAGGAGAATATCCAAAAGCAATTTACCATGTAATATCTCTAGTTATTTGCAGATGTACTATCAGCCTTAAATTATTTTTACCTTTCCACAGTTCTGGCTTGTTTGCATTATTATGCAGGAGCCAAAAGCAGCCAGAGGGTACTTGCAGTATTAAGGCTGACTTTATAATTACTTGCTTCAGCATAACAGCGCAAAATAGCTACAAGGCAGCTCCTTCTCTCTCCTCTCCTCCTCATTCCTCAGCATATATAGGCATCTGACTTCTTCCCTGCCTGTTAACCTTTCCACTCCCCTCTAGTCACCTAATTCTACTAGTTTTGCTCACTTACCCACATTGAGGAGCAGTTTAGCACAACAGACAGCTTCTAAATAAATTATTTAGGTTTGCCTAGAAGCAGAGGTCAACACTGCTAATTTGCACTTTCAGGAAAACATCAAGAATCTCCCAGTTACAAAATGGCTGCTATTTCTTACTGTTATGAACAGGTCTGAAGATAGATCTCGTTAACGGATAACTGATCTTCTTCCAGAATGGCAACTATCCTCTGCTTGGTACAATAACCCTGAAGACACAAGATGCTTCTTATTCAGTATCTACTACTCTCTTTGTAGGAAATGTAACTTAAAATCTGTCTTCTGAAACACCTTATGATATTCCTCTACAATCAGAGCACAGAGAGAGCAAAACATGGCAAGGAGTAAAGATGAATTTGCTAAACCTGGCACTACTATTCTTATGGTTCTTGTGGACAGCTTAAATCTACTTATCTTGTTTGCAGCTTTTTACAGAGTTCTGAAATGCTAATTTGAGATGCAAAACTTACCTCTGTTCCTCCATCTTTGAAGGTGTCACTGTATGTACTGTCAGGAGTACTACGCTGGTCATCTTTGAGATAATTTGTGTGAGGTGCAATGTTGGACACTTCGTAAGGTTCAAAGATAACCCCTCGATGCTCCTCATTTTCTCCCCTTGCATAGTGTGCTTGTGGGGTCATAAAAACAGGGGTGAACTCCTCTGCTTTTACCACAGTCACTCCAGTCCCTGTAATTGGCGTCGAGCTCCCAGATACATTTGCGTTGTATTCCCTTTTGGAGGACTCCAAAGGATCTTGATTTAAGGAAAGGTTAACAGGCACTGTCTTCAGGACTTGCACACGGTTCTCGCCCCCACTCAAATTACTCTGAGCTTCAGTGGTATTAAGACAATTTCTGAGACAAAACCAAAACATGTTATGAACTCTCCTGATAGAGTAAATATCTTCCTTAAATAACTTAATGTTCTTAGATGGCAGGGAAGGAGATCTGTGTGTTTACAACTCTGATAATCAAGTAGTATATTAACAAATGCTAGGCAAAAGACATTGTGAGGTGATTAGAAAGGTCTGGAAGTCTTCAACAATCAGGAAAGGACGGTACAACTGATTCGACCTATAATAGATATGACGTAGTATGACAAAATTCTAGGTATCCATGGTAACTTTTGCCTTGGCTTATTATTTGGATGCAAAGTCAATTCACCAGTGCCATCAGGCACAAAATAAGCATAGAGAGTAACACAAAGTATGGATTACTAATAGTAGAATAATCCTCACGTGAAACAGATAGGGGGAACATTAACAGCAAAATTCCTGTGCTGATGCATGCTCTTTCAGGCAGTCAATGGGTCACCACTGTTTGTGCACCTCTGGTACCAACACGCTTCTGAAAGAACGTACCAAGGAATCCCACCGTATCTGACCAGATCAGTAACTACAGCATCTGTGAGGGAACTTCTAGTAGAACTCCCATGTATCTACCTGGGGCTGCTGTTGCCAAGTATCTGATTGTTCACAGTAGTTGTGCTGACATAAAATTGTTCACTCATAAAACTTTTAGTAGGTACAGCATTCTGCTTTGTTTTCAGCCCAGGAAATCTGCTCTGGCATTACAGTTCCTCTGTGCTGGCTTCTCACTGGATGACAGTTTTGCCATCCACACTCAACTGTGGAAATTCTCTGGAGTTAGAAGCAAAACTATACCTCTAGAAAAAGTTTTAGATTCTCTGTAATGAAACAGTGAATTTAAATGCCGATAAAACTACCTAGTTAAGCTTTGTCCTCACGCGACTAGTAGAGACAGTATAGTGCTGTCCTGAACAAGCTACATTGAAATAAACCTTGTGCAGCATGTCCGCACTATAATTTTCCATGAACGTAGCTTCCCAAAATGTAAAAATATAGCTCTTTTTACAGCAAATGCACACTCTTGTCCACAAGTCTTAATAAAGGCAGTGAATGTCAGCTTCTGTTGATTCTTCAAGTAACAGCATACTGAGGAGGGCTGAAATTTGAGAGGAGTGAGAAAAACATTTTGAGGGAATGATTTTACTTTATCTGCTTCTAGGCAGAGATAAAATTATGTTAAATAAAACTGTATGAAGCAGGTTACTGAAGACAAACTACTCAGTGTTTTCTCTAGAAAAAGAAAATTGAAAGAAAAGAAATAGTCAATAGTCTATTGTCAGTATAACCTCATTTTACTATTATCACCAGCAGAAAGAGCAAAACAAAACACAAGCAAACCATGAAACATTCTGCCTACTTTTTGCTTTCATGCAAATTTCATGTTTAATAATCCTGCTCCATTTTTTAATAAATTAAATGTAAAAAGGAGTGAAGTCTGGTTCCCTAAAGAGTCTTCATTCTTTTATCTTTAGGAAGAAAATCATAAGCCCTCAGGCTATCATAGTTCCTCCAGTTCACAACTGATCAAGACTGTTAGTATTTGCGTGGATGATTTTGGGTAATACTGTACCTTTTATCTTGGTCTTCTTGATTATCACTCACTTTGTTAACAGACAGCAGCCTTTTATCTCTGGGAACCTGAGAACAACATCAGGCATGGGTCAGGTAAATGCAACTGTCAGATATTTGCAACTTCAGATTGGTCTAGTGTAACAACTGGAATATGTAATTAAATCAGTGTTGTCTGATTCACAGATGTAAGGAGTTGCTTTTCTTTGGGAGACTGATCATGAACACAAAGATAATTTGCAAAGGGAAAAACGTAGAGCTTGCTTTCTTCTTTAGTTCTCGGGTGCACAAAAATCTGGAGCAAAGTACTCTTTTATATGTCCTTATCTTTGGAATATCAGGCTACGCCACAATCCAAGCTTATATTCACAAACACACACGTACGCTTTCATTGAATAATAAGAGATGTGAATAAAAGCATATTATTGCTTTGATGAGTGCTGCATGAAGACCCTTTTAGCTCAGAGGTAAAAAGGGTTTTCAAATAAACCACAAGAGCTTGCTGAGAAAGTCCTCCACTTATGGAGCAGTCTGGAGGATGCAGAACTAGTAGCCAGGGGACGTTCGTAGCTCCTTCTCTTCACTAGCATAGGGACAAGTGAGGGACATGCTGGCAGGTCAAAGAACACTGACTTCCGCTTTGCTGAGTGCGTTAACAGCCATGAGAAGCAAAGATCAAGTCAAAGCTGGCCCCTCAATAGGCTCAAAATTCACAACAAAAGTGTCTTAGAGCTGTTTTCCCACATACCTGTTCCCTGAAACCAGCATGGATATGAAATCACCAAGGACAAAGTTGCTCCTCTGACTTTTTTTCTTGTTGAACCAGCAGTTTTGGAACTAACACTCCTAATCTATTTTTAACAAAAGAAGCTACATCCACTCCATCACAGCAGGTAGCTGACAGGATTGCAGAGCAAGGATAGACCTAAGAATGGGCTGAAGTTGTGCCTGTTATCTCTAAATACTTTAAAGAAAGATCAGGAAACATCTCAACTTGAAAAAAAAACAATACGACAGTGCACTTCAGTAGCCAAGGTTAACACCAGCTATATCTACAAGATAGCAGCAGAGTCACAGTACTAGCAAGAGCCTTTCCTTCTCTCAGGGTCTTCCTCCTGCTCTATCAAGTGTCCTGCTAGTTAACAAACCTCCTTCATATGTTTTCAAAGTGGAATCCAAGCCACTGTTCACACATATCGATTTCCTTGTTAAGATCACATATTTACCCTTGAAGGAGGGCCAATGTTCAGGTAAATACAATTACAAGAAAGAGAGAGAAGGAAGAAAAAGGAGTTAAGGTCAAACAATTCCTATTGACTGGGAAAAATACCTAAAAAAAATTACCCAGCATGTCAGAACAAATGAGCCAGGCAACAAATAAGGGCAATTTGAGAGAGTCTTGTGCATTGGACGTCCTCCTCTATGCTGACCCAGTACAACACTGAGACTGAGGTTAGGTTTAACTTCCATTTTGAGCACATCATCAAGAGTTACCCTCTTCTCCCACTTCAAGCCAGAAGTAGCTATTTCTGACTGCTGGAGATGGCCTAAGACTCACACAGCTTAGTTGCAACTGTCTGAAGCAAGGAACTGGATAAGTCTCCTGGAGCATAGTTCTGAGGAAGAAAAGGACTCTTCTCTGTTCTTATAAAAAATTCAGTAGATTAATGAACTGCTACATGTAGTGTAAGGGTATTACGAAGGCAGAAGCCAACGCTCCAGATCCTCGTACACATCCTGCATTTCAAGAACGCACATAACTTCACGGACTCTGGTGCTGTGGTAACTCTGTCAAGATCAGGACCTTTCCTCTTTCTCCTTGGGAAAAGCCTCTCTCTACTGATAACAATGCAAAGCAGCATAGACTGTCTCTTGAAATATAATCAGTAAAGAAAAGAACAATATTTAACTATAAGACTGGTATATGGCATTTTGCCTACAAGCCCTCTCTCCTGAACACTTATTTAATGATTGTAGCAGAAATGGAAAAAAAAAAAAAAAAGCCCATTCTCTAAAAGCAGTTATACTAATAAATATTAAAAGCAAAAAAGCAAAAGTTTTTAATTTTTAAATTTCCATTCCTGCCACCCCCTCACGAGTGATGAGGAGGTGCTGTCACTGCTCTGCTGACTTTCACAGAAGATCCTCTGTCCAATTTAGGCATAGATAGCTTCAAAATTACTGAGACAGTTAAGTGAAGCAAACAATTTTGTATTTCACTGCTTGGTAGGCGACACCAATTCTTGTTTGTAGAGTATGAAAAGATCAGCCTGGGTTTCAGAGTGGAGTGTCTGCATTACACAGAGATGCACCCTGTAGAGTTCTCCTCTGATTTCAGCAGAAATTTCAGACATAATCCTACTTAGACACTGAAATGTATGAAAAAGAAAGCTGGTGTCAGAATGGTGGATCAAGTCATTGGCTTAGAACCTGACATAAACTCAAACTGTATGTCAATGTTTCCCCTGTAAACTGAATTATAGCTCCATCTGTGTGTCCAGCTCCATTTCTGTCCCTCACCTTTCTATTTAGACTGCAAACCCCCAGTACAAGGGCTAGATCTCACTATACGGTTTGTATACAGCCTATTGCAATACTAATATAAATAAACTTAAAATGGGAAACTGTCAGATGAGATACTCCAGTTAAAGAGCAAACTAAAACATGTGTGTCATGAACCAGAAAAGCAGACAAACTTATAGATGAACAACACCTCCCCCTTCCCACTTTTAAAAAACACTGCAAGTATAGGAGCACAAATAAAAAGGGGGATTACTCGTCCAACAAGGCAAGAATGCTATGTTGAGAAAAAAAAAAAAATCGTGGTTGTCAATTTAATATGAGAATTCTGATTTTGTTTTTTCTCATCAGAGCTAAATACACCAAAACAGCCTCAAACAGGCGTCCTAAAATGGAAAGAATGCTTCATACAAGTGTCAGAGAGATAACGGGATGTAGTGACTCCTGTCTTTGAAAAGTGGCTCTTTTCATGCCTCTTAAGAGTGCGTCCCTGCCAGTGCACTGGGGAGGAAAAATGACAGGGTTACCTACTTTATAATAGTCATACAATAGGCCAAGAGCAGCAGCACTGTCTTCATCACCATTTATGCTCATCATAGCCTTGGTAGCTGCTGTTAGGGGATTCTCCAGATACGACTTCCAGGCTTCATCTTCGCTGGTGTAGGCTCGTCTGGTGTTGAATGAAGCGTCATTTGGCACTAAGGCCACAAGTCGCTTGTTACTGCGTAGACAGGAAGAATAAAATGGTGATCCAGAAGGGATTATTTTATTGGCAATTCACAAGGCATGTTGAAGAACATCACTTAGCTGAATAAAGGTGATATATCAAGCAAGTATCTCTGTATTAAACTTGCTGTTATAAATATTTAGGTAGGTATTATAAATATTTAGTGGGTACCTTTAGTACTTAACCAAAATTTTTTTTAATGTGTGCAGATCTTGCAGTAATAATTCAACTGTATTTTTCTGTTGTTATACTAATAATACAATTATAGCTACTGTAAATAATAATACATTTTTGCTAATTTTTAGCAGCTAAATATTTTAAAATTACTTGGAAATAAAGTTTTAACAATATAAGAACAATTTAGCACTGCTATTTTTCCTAGCTGTCCACTTGATTATGGAAAAATATAAATAACTAAAATCAGTTACGAGACATAAACAGAATAAAATATAAAACATATCTAATACTGATCTAGTGTTCACCTAAACTGAGTATATCTGAGTATTTCTTAAGTGGGAACATTTTGTAATTGAGTCAGTCGCTGCTTTTGGAATGCAATTGGTCAGTAATTTCAGATAGCTTTTCAGCAATGGGTCCAGTGGATGGAGCACAAGAAGCAAGCACATTTGCGCTCAATTCCCACTTTGTCACTCACCACATGCAGTTACAGACCCACAACAAATGGAGGCCAGACCCTGAGAAAGTGAGACTTGGAGGAGAGCAGCTTCCTTCAGCCTGAAAGAGGTGGAAACTGCCCAGTGGCCCATATATCAGGCGAGGGGCTGCTTTGCCACAGCTATGGCTGAAATTTCCAGTATAATGGAAACGTAAATGAGATTATAGTACCTGCTTTTTCCAAACATTCAGTAAACTCGGGGATAGAAGAGCTATGCAAAAAAAAAAAAAAAAAAGTAGCATTCCTATACCCCAAGTTAGTATGCAACTAGATTAGGCAGGAAAATAGCTGAAAGAGAGGTGTGCTTCTTGCATGTTGCAAAAGCACCCTCAGATTTATGGGTCAAGTTACAAGGATCATGTTGATACTTTTAGTAAGTTACACCTTAAAATCTGATCCATTTTAAGAAAACTGCAAAGCAGGTAGAGTTACCTGGAACTGAATGCACTGACGTAACTGGCCAGAATAATGGTTACTGCCTGTGACTTTCTTAAAATATCTTCTACATAAAAGCTGTTTATTATTCAGTCTCTTCTTTTTGTTCTCCCCCTAACCACAGGGGTCCCCGTTCCACACGCCTCACACAGCAAACTAGTTGCCGCAAAAAGGGTTTCGGCTCATCGAGACACTCACACCTGAGCCTTACATTTGATTTGAGGAAACAGCATTTCTGGGAAGGTATCTCATCTACAACTTTCAACCTACAGGCAGCCGACAGGCTCAGACTCCACGCTAAACTTCACTGCTGCTTGCATGCCGTCTGGAAAGCGCATTTTGTGTTGTGTAAGGAGGAGGAGGGGGCTGGCAGAGATTATCATCTCTATGGTACATAGCGCTGTTTACGAGTTACTTTATTTAATGAAAACGAAATAATCTATCTGGTACATAGAGCAGAGTTTTATGAACTCCATGTGGGGGGGGGAGCATTTATTAGCTTCATAGCACAAAATACACCCAGTGATTACAGATCAGATTATATTTTCCTTTCTTCTAAATTATCTGGATTTTTAGAAGCTTCCTTTCACTTCTGAATGCCTTTCTTTCTCCCTGGCCTTCTGCTGTCCCTTCTTAAGATTTCCGCCCTCCTCCTTTCCACGTATATATTTGTGTTGTTACAGGTCTCCTCCAGCAAACAAAAGCTGAAGCCTGTATTAGGAACCCAAGATGCAGGGAGCTGCTAGGTCTGCTTTCCTTTTCAATGCTTTATTGTTAGCGACTCCGATCAGATTTGCAGCAGCCCCATTGTTTGTGCCAGAGGGAGCTGCAGGCCGGTCCCGCTCCCGCTCCGCTCCCCGCTCCCCGGCTCAGAGGGAATTAGTGCGGGCAGCGATTCTCCCTGCCTCCACAAAGCTCCCCTTCAGCCAAACCGGCCGAGTTTGCCTGCGCCGGCCGCTGCCCGCTGCCAAGCGCAAAACACCACTCGCTCACCTTCCTGTGGCAATCTTAGGTTACAACCAATATCTGTCTTTTATTACTTGGAGCTCTCGTCTCCATGTGATAGTCATAACCGATTTATGAGCACTACAGGCAGGCTGCAAGCTGCCCTTTAAAACACCTCTTGACAGTCGCACGGTGCTCACCTGCAGAAACGCTAGAGAGAAGGAGTCGATCTGTCCTGCTCTAACTTGGTAAAGACAACCTTAAAGCAATGAGAGTGCTGTCCCTGAGAGGTGCCAAAAAAGATCGTTTTGGGCAAGAGTTAAAGGGAAGGGGATGAATGCTCTAAGAACAACCAGTGAGGAAGTGAACAGCCTGGGTGGCTGGAAAGCCACTGGTGCCTAGATCCAGAGCCTCCCCATAACGCATTTTCTCCAAAAGCCAAGTTTTCACATGTAAAAACTAAGTATTTTTCTTCTCTGGCTACAGAGATGGTCTGCAACATAATCAACTGACACACTCATTGTGTTTACTCCGCAAACAGACTGAAACAATAGCATGGAGAAAAATAAAAAACTTCCTCTTCACCCCCATCCCTGTAATCAGCTCTGTGGGAGGTTAATGGTCAGACCTAATTATCATGATTTAGCATAGTCAATCATTTCAAAGATTATATCCAAAGCAGTCAGCCAAAACAACTGTGCTTGCTTTAAGAAAACTTCTCTGTTAATTATAAGGTCGTTTGGATGGGAGGGAGGGTTTCCCTTAAGAAATGAGGCTTGTGTGTGCACATGCCACTCCCCCTGCTTTTCCATGACTTCTGAACCTCCTGGACAATTTCTGCCTAACGTGACAGAGGGGTAACACTCCCAAAGATGTGAAGCCCCCCATAACTAGAGGAGACATACTTCATGCTTAAAGCACGCAAAGAAAATCGGTTCTCCCGAGCGCAGACCCTGCATGGGTACGTTCCCTTCACGCTCCCGCGAGTGCCCTTCCAATATGTTGGCCCCCACAGCAATTACAGCTGTGTAACCTATGACAGCCGGCAGCTGTTTAGAGGAGGGTTACATCGGTGGCATCCTGATTATGGAAAAGACAAAGCGTGATACCAGAAAGTTTGCATGAGAGCACTTCTGAATGCCCCAGGCAGGAGAAAAGCCTAACACAGAGCCTACGCTTACCATCACATCTAAGACTCCAATCAAAAGCTACGAACCCATCAGTGACCAACCTCCATCTGTTCCCACCCATGGCAGGAACTCCTTTAGGGAGGGAAAAGCAGCAACCGATTAAAAGTGGAAGACTCTCGTTCAACCTGGCTAGCAAGGACCAAGGAGGGCAACAGCAGCAAAGCTCTTCTGTAGCCTGAGGCATATCTTCTAAAATAGACTGTAGCCTCAGAGCAAGTTAAGCAGTGGAGAACAAGCCCAATAGTGATTTTGCCCATTCCTAGCCTACAGCCCATGTCTGCACTGTTGCCAGGAGGTGTGCTAGCAGAAATAAAGCTAGGAGAGGCATGCTTACATATGCTGAAATAACTCCATTATTTTACCATGGAGATAGATACACCTTAAAAGATTGAGGATACTTGAGGAGTAAAAGGTGCCAATTCCCTTTCAAGCGATCAGTTGAGTTCCTAATGGCTGCCAAGTATTTTTCAGTTGTTCTATGTTACATAGTAGTAGGTGGTTAGGTATCTTAACTTATAGGTGTGTAAGGATGAAGGTATGTTTTGAGGTATGTTAACTTAAGAGCTAGATCTCCCTGACACTTGAGCATTTATGTCAAGCCTAAACTTCAGATGACCTTTAGTTTTGAAAAATCTTTTTTCCCAAGCTGTTTAGTACAGATTTTCTTGTTTGTACTAGCCTTACGTGATTTGTGGTCTTTGCTCTTAACAGAGAAAATATGTAAGATTTACAGATTGATACGACTTATGGTGATACGGCATCTGGTACAATGATATTTTTGAACTTATTTCAAGATAAAAGTTTTGGAATTTCATAAAACTAGGTATTTTAAGAGTAGTGTAGAAATAGAGAGGTCTAAAACTCTGGTGCTCAGTTGGTCTCATTTCAGTTACCACAGTACAATGACACAACGAGGACAACTAAATTGTACAGTACTCACTTTACCATCCTAAACTCAATAAATAATTGAAAGGATGTGCTGGCGTTTCAAGTCCTTCTTCAGATTTGAGATAATGAACTTTCAACAGCCACTACTTGGGGCTATAAAATCCCACAACAGGCAAATTCTCACATGACTTGATACAATTTACATATAATCTTAAATATTCCTTAATACATTCACAAACAATGGTAAAAGAAGGTAGCATTGTGATTGGACTTTGCTTTTTATTCAGGAACAAGATTTCCTGAACCTCCTCCCACCTGTCCATCTCTTTCAGGCCACTTTGGTGTGCATGAGTCTTCGGTTGGATTTGCAAAGGTCAGGCAGTCCTCAGTCTCTTTGCTAAATCTGCCATTGAATGCAAAGCACAGAGATGCAGCTGTACTGGTGGAATCAAGGTACAACCCAGTGATTTAACATGAGGACCACAAACACCCAAAACAAGAACCCCATTCATCTTGACATGAATCAAACCACAAGGCTTGATGCATCCCTCCCTCCTTGCCTGCTAATAATTGCTAGTGAAAGACAAGGCCACCAAGTATGCTGACACGTGAAAATATCCTTAACGTGAATGCATGGATGGACCCAGATACAATATAGCTGGGAAACGGTGCAGTTATCCTACTCTCTTCCATCATATGCTCAGCATGACCTACTATACCATTTGATACTAGCAGAGAAGAATTCCACTCCTTGTCCCCCAACTTTTCTCTTGTCCAGGAAATCCACCCTGAAACACGTTAACAGACTGCTAAAAGTGCAAAGCTGAGCATCAAGCCCAGACAGTTTCTGGAGTTTGATT